GGCCTCCTCACGGCCAGCCCCGGCAGGGCAGCCCCGCACCCCGGGTCCCCCCGCACGCCCGGCCCCCGCACCTCCTTTTGCTTGGGGTCCTGCGGGTAGACGTCAGGCGGGCCGAGGCGCGGGCGCTTGAGCGGGCGGTGCTCGTAGCTGAGGACGCCGAAGGCCGCCATCCCAGGCCGGCCGGCGGCTAGAGGCGGCCGGGCCACAACAAGCACCCGCGGGGCCGACCGCGCCTGCGCCCTGCGCCCTGGACGGGGCCGCCCGAGCGCCGCCGGAGAGGCCCGAGCGTCGCTGTCACGGGCGCCGCCGAGGGGAGCCGGAGCGTCCCGAAGCGGGGCCGAGGAAGGACGAAGAGTCCCGAGCGCCGGCGGGGAAGGCCCGAGCCTGAGCCGAGCGGAGGCGGAAACTGTCGAAGATGGACGGGGCGGCCCGAGGGGCGCGCGGCGCCCCCTAGCGGAGGCCGGGCTGAGGTCACGTGTCGCCCACCGCGGTTACGTTCGTCATCACCCCCAGGACCGCCCCGCAGCTCACCGCCTCCGGCTGCCCCCGCTGCCCGGGACACCGGCGCCGTTGGCCTCACGGCCACCGTCCCCCGACCACACCCCTATCGCTGCGCCCACGGCCGTCCCCCCGTCGCTGCCCCCATCACTGGCACCACCACTAGCCCTCACGACCACCTCCTGTAACTGCCCCCACGAGCCCCTTTGTGACGTCTCCCTGCAGCTGCCCCCCGGGACTGCCCCAGTGCCTCCCAGTTCTGCCCAGTTCTCAGGGACCCAGCCCAGGACACCCGTGATTGGGCTGTGGGTCGGGAAGCCCACACCGGCCCTGCTCCTGGGGGGCAGCCCTGTGGGGGGTGAGCCCTGTGGCATGGTGGGGTGAGCCGTGGGACCACCGCAGGATGAGCTGGGGGGTCCCACTGGGGCAGGCAGTGGGGCCCCGAGGGGTGAGCCGTAGGGCCTGGGCAGGAAGGGTGGCAGGGCCCCAGTGGGATGAGCTGTGGGGCCCTGCTGGGGTGAGCCGCGGGACCCCATTGGAGTGAGCCACGGTCCCCGTTGGAGTTACTCATGGGGCGCCGTGCAGGGTGGGCCCCTTGGTGGCAGGCGGTGCTGTGGGGCAGGAAGCAGCGTGGGTGCGGAAGCCAGCAGCCCTGTGCGGTGGGTGGGCTGTGCGCAGGGGTTGTTCGCATGCGCCCCACGGCTCACCCAGCCATGGTGGTGCCCTGCGCCTTCCTCGTACCCGTCCTCCTTCTCCTCTGCAGGCTGGGCCCCTGCCTTACTGCTGCCCACAGCCCCCCAGGTAAGGGAGCACATGGGCCCCAGGGGGGGCGGGAGGCCATGGTGCCCCATGGGTGGTGGGGTTGGGGGATGTCACTCCCCAGTGATGGTGGGCGACAAGGACAGGATGTGGGGCTGTGTGGGCTGGCGAGCCAGTGGGGCTTGCGCTAGAGACCCCGTGTCCCCCCAGTGCGCCCCAGGACCCCCGGCATCTACATGGCCCCTTGCAGTGGGGCTGCTGGGAGAGCTGGGCTGTGCCGGGGAGCCCTGTTGGATGTCCTTCCTCCTGCCCTAGCGCTGGAGCATCACTGGTACCACTGGCCCCATGGCTACCAGCCCTGCGGCTCTCCTGGTTCCATGGCTCTAGTGGCTGCACAGCTCTAGTGGCCACACAGCTCTAGTGGCCACACGGCTCTGCCGGCCCTGGGGCTGCCAGCTCAGCAGCCAGCGCTGCTGGGAGGGACCCTGGCCATGGAAGTCCCCCGTGGCAGGCCAGGGTGGGGGGCGGAGGCAGGATGCGATGCACAGATCCTATTGGCCCTGTGCATCAGCTGGGCAGGACGGCAGCCAGCGGATCTGCACCAGTTGCCCTTTCCATCCCCGTCATGTCAGTGGTGCCGTGCGCAGATGGGGGATGGGGGGCGGGGGACAGGTGTGTTACGGATGCATGCACAACCAAATCCAACAGGTGTTAAAAGTCAGATTTATTCTTCATTAGAAAAGTTAGTTAGAACTCCGGTAATATTTTATAAACCACAAGCTCAACGATGTAAGGGGAATTAGTACTACACAGCCGACTTAAGAATCCTTAAAAGTGATGACTCAAACTGCGCATTATCACTCACCTAAAAGATGAGGGCGCTCTCCCTCGAGGAGTTACCTCGGGCGGTGCCCTGACCCAAGGGGGGGTCCCCAACTGCAGACCCGCTGCTGCAGGGCAGACTGATTCCCACATGCCCTCCAGCTTATACCCTTGTCGAATCTGACCTGTGGTCATTTAATCCCTATTGGCCAAGAAGGTCAC